CGTATAAGAGGAAGACAGGGTGAGAGTGGTGCCTCACCGGTGGAAATATGCTCAGCCACAGGCATCGCTGGTTCAGCCTCTGTCCCCCATAAATCCCGGCCAGTAAGAACCCCGGGTGCCCAAAAAGACGTGTCAATTAGGCCAAGTCTGGGGTGACGTCCTGTCACCGCCCGCGTCATCCGTTTAACCCCATCCCATCACAACCCCGATATGGCAGCCGTCCTTCCGGCCTCATCCACTGTGCTGCCCGGTGGCCCCTATGCAGCGCTCCCGACACCTCCGAAGAAGTCGCCGCCACCGCTTCCCTGCGCCGGGCAGTGGCACCCGTCGGCCTTGCAATGATCGACGCTGCCCGCTCACATCCGCCGCGAATTCGTGCACTATATCCTCCTGTGGCCTCAAGAAACGCGTTCTATCGTCGCTATACCAATCAACAGCAATCAATCGCGTTGACTCACCATCGCTTAATCGCTCCTGAGCCAGAGACATCTGCCGCAGCGAGCCGGCCATGTGCTACCAGCGTACCCGTTGTGTATGCGCTCCGTCCTCCTTTTCTCGCGATTCAAGTCTTTTGGTGCCCGGGCCAGGGCGAGGGTGCTATGCAGCCTTAGCCCAGCCAGCGCCCGCCGGGGGGTCCCTGCCTGCGAAAATTTGAGTAATCAGGCCACCGCAACGACTCACGCAACACATGAAACGCCGTTCGTCTCGCCAGTAAAGCGCGTATTGGCTACCAGTTGTGGTTGGGTGCTGCCACAGACGACTGTTGTGCCGGCGTCCATCTGCCTGAACGTTGGTGTTAGTGATATGACCCGGCCAGTATATACTAGCGCCCTCTAATCACCCCATCACTAGTGGCTGGAAGGCTAAAGCAGCACCTTCTCGGGGGCATTTAAACGAGGCTAGAACAGCTGCAGGGAATGAACAAGTCTACCTCGATCGAGATCTCCCTAGTAGCTTGCCCAAGCTGATCTACATACATAGTAGGTATAGATAGAACATCGATCCATTAGCCGACGTGATGTAGAGAGATTAAATACAAGTTCATCCTGAGATCCCCACTGGGTTCGACGGAACGCCCTGCCTCGAGCATTCCATAACGTCGAAGCGACCGAGGTCCACAGTAAGTTATCACGGATCAGAACAGAACAGAAGCAAGCAACAAGCGATAGGATAATAAATAACGGCACAGGTCCGCTTGTCTCTCGCCCAAACATCACCATCCACTTCATCCGCAACCATCCTCACCCGTGAACGGAACAAAGTGCTCAGTAGGTGATCCGCATGCACGCGGTTCATCCAGATCTTGAGCACATAGCAAACGCAATCAGCGTTAAACACCGCCATGCAACCTCACCACCTCACCCACCCCTCCACCCACCCACCTTCCTCGCCACCTCCTCATACACCGCCCGTGCCGCACCCGGCCTCCTAGGCAACGGCTTCTCCTCGCACGCCTCCTGATACACCTCCGCACATCGTCGGACGTGCAACCTCTCCGGACGCGCAGGCGATGGCGTAAGCGGCACGGGCGAGAGCGCATCGAGGTCCAGGTGCGGAGAGAGGTACTCGCTGTTATGTTGATGCTCGTTTGAATGCGGAGATAGTAGTTCAGCATCGTGACGGCGCCCACCCCGCGCCAGCGAGCTCAGGAACGGCGGCACGGGCGACGGCCCCGCATACCTCTCCAACACGTCCTCCTCCACTCCCGCATTCTCCTCCTTCCCCTCCACCTCCTTCGCCTTCCACCCCCACCCCCACCCCTCACTCTCCATCCTCCCGAGCACCGGCGGCACCGGCGACACCGCACTCCTGAACTCGCGCGCGCTCACTCTGCCTCGTCCCCTCCTCCCGAAAGGATTCGAGCTCCTGGTGGACCGCCGCACGCCCTGCTGTCTTCGCACCGACGCCACCGAGTAAAGCGATGCCGCGTCATTGTCCGTGTCTTTGCCCTCTAGACTTGAACGTGCATGCGCGTACCCGCTCCGAAAAGAGCCCGCAACGCTCGCCGGCGCCGCCGCAGTCGGTGTCGATGCCCTCGAGCTCCCCGCGTCTCCCATCCCCACGCCCAATCCCCACCGCCCACTCCTCAAGCTCCCAAACTCGCCCGCGTGCGCATCCTCCATCGTCGGTCGCCTTGATAGCGCCTCCCTCTCCCTTCCACGCTCAACACGCAGCCGTCTCCGCTCTCTCACGCACAGCGCGCCCGCAGCGAGGAGCACGGTGAGCACGAGCGCGAGTGGGACGGCGTACGCTGCGGTCGGCGCGGGCCGCGTGCTCAGTGCGGAGTTCGGGTCTGTGAGGGGATCGGTGGAGGAGGACGAGGTATTTTGGGAGAGGTTCGGGTAGGATGTTGGGGAGGATATTTTGGAGGAGGAGACGCCCAGAGGCGCGGCGGATGCAATCTTTGCAGGCGAGGACGCAGATGAGAGCAGGGCAGAGGCTGCGCAATTTCATCGTGCATGAGTCAGAGAATTGACAGAGAATAAGTGCGGATACGCACGTGTGAGCTGGAACGCAGGCGAGCACGCCGTCTTGCCTGAGGATGCCTGCATTCGGAGGACGAACTGAGAAGGCGAAGTCACGTTTGGGAGCGAGCTGCGCATATTTTCAGGCACAACAAAAATTCAAGCATGAAATCAGCACAGCGCTAGAAAGACGATCCCATAAGTGAACGACGGGGATGCTCACACTTGTATAAGGCACGACCCTCCGTCCGACTGGACGTCTGGGTACACGCTCGCGCCGCAGTTCTGCCCGGTGTCCAGCGCATCCTGCCCATCCGAATCCTGGTTTTTAGCCTCGAGCGCCGTCTGCGCTTCCGAGCTTGCGTCGCAGAGGCTGAACGCTGGCTCCGCCCACGACTCGTCCGTTTCTGGCTCGGCACTCCACTCGCCGACGATCGTGTCCCCCGAGGCGTACACGTCCCCTGCAGACGGGCTTGTCCATACCACGCTCGTTGCGCGGGCGAGGTGGAGGACGGAGAGGCCGATTGTAGTGAGAACGGGTGTGTGGGGGTTGGAGGAGGGTGGTGGTGAACGGTGGCGGCGCATTGTGTGAGTGGCCAAGGTTGCAGTGTAGTAACGAGTGAGTCTTTAACGAAGGAGAGGATGATGGTAGCGGGCCTGCCCTAGTAGTAGAGGATCGCCGTCTAGGCGAAGGAGGAAAGCGAATGGAGGCGAGGGATGGGAATGGACCGTGTTGGTGGTTGTGAGGATCATGCAGCGGCGATGCAATGGCACAGACAGTCAGATGCATGATTCCAGTCATTACTTTGAGAGCAGTCAGGAAACCGACCGCCGGTCGCATTCCCAACAATCGCATCTATCCTTCCTCCGGCTCATACCTCATTTCGCGCATCCCACTCACAAACCAGCGGGAGTCGACGCCGTCGAGTCCACCTCAAGCATGACGTGGTCCACTGCGGTCGATATCGACTCGACGTTCGCGGAAAACTCGAGCAGTTGCTGCCTGCATCTGCATCAGCGCACCATCTATGCACACAATCAAGCACGTCCAGCGCACCGCTTCCTGTCCCGGAGTCTCTCCAGCATGTCGATCACCTCGTCCTGCTCCTCCAGAGAGAGCTCGCCCCCGGGCAGCGCATTCGCTGCCTCCTTTGCCTGGCGCAGGCTTTCCTTGTATTCGTTGGTCTATTGCATCCCATATACCGTATAAATTAAAACCCATGTAGAGAATGAGAGAACAGCGAATCGGTGACGAGTTTTGGGACGGGATTGTCGAAACGCACCGCCTGCACGAGAGCCTGCCTCGTCTGTGGTGTCGGCGCGATCTCCGACTGCTGGATAAGCTCGAGAACGGTTATGAGCTTGAGAAGGAGGTTCTCGTATTGAGAAGACATATTGGCAGAGCCCCAGTAAGTATAATGCGCCGTTTGCGTAATGAACGTATGCGCACAGCGATACTTAGTATAGATTCGGCGAGCGGCTCAACGGGCGCTTCCTAAAACGCGTCGGTGGCTGCGCTGCTCTCACACGGGTGTCTCAATTCACTGGTTAGACCTTCACAGCTGGTTACAGTCTTATGTATTTAAAAAAAAAAGATAAATCGTTCGGATCACGCTATGGTGTTTTTTTTGTGCCGTACTCTCTTTTTTTTTCGGTACGACGTTCCTTTGCACAGAGTACAATAATACTCCGAACAAGTCCTGGCTTCGAGTACGGTCATGCCATTCACCGCTACCTTCACCTTCGGCCTACGGTCTGTCCACAGGCAAGATCGAGCCATCTTCTCTTCTCTCGTCCCCGCAGCGCCAGAGCAAGTCCCCCCTGCTCATGCCTTGCCTCTGCTGACGTTCCGTTAGTGGCATACACGGACAAGGCCATCAACGTGACCATCCCTGTCGAACTTCCTGCCACGGCGCATGTTGACAAAGCTTAAGGCCGTCGATGTGTCCATCCCGGACAAGGTCGCCTCAGTGAAGAACAGTGATCCAGCCATGGATGCTCCCATCCCGGACAAGTCTAGCACAGCACTCACCGCGCCCCTCACCCTGAGCCAACCAAGAGAGGGACGTATGCCTCCCGCGTTGCGAGGGGGCGGCCGTGACCAACCTCACGGTCCTTCAGCGACGCTGGTGTTCCCATCGCTTGGGACCCCATAGCCTACAAGACATTCCTTCGGACCGCGATATCGTCGCTGAAGAGAAAATGGTCCAACCTTTTACCCTGCGCGGATCTGTTGTCTCGTTGTGCGAATCTGACCGTCAATTATCCGATGGTGTACTCACTGCAGGAGATTTCAATGGAACGCATAGATTAAGCTGCTACGCAGCGTATAGCCAGGGAATCATGTGTCGGACATGGTTTACAAGGTGAATGCGACCGACTATTCGCCTGCCGTGAAACGCCTGCCGAGATCATGTTCTCTGCGATCCAGTTGTTGTGTTAAACCATCGTCTGCGACAGAGCTTCGCGTACTTAGTTGTTGAAACATCGTCCAGTCGGCCTTCCGCTTCTCGTCCCCGATCAGCTCGATTTAGGGCGAGCGGCATACGACTGGCACACGTCGCCTCGACAAGGCCAGCGTTGGACATGCGACGCGATTTCACAACCAGAAGCGCCAGCACGAAGACAGGGAGCAGCGACGTGAATCTTGCTGATGAAGGCCCCTAGACGCCTCAAAGGAGTAGTCCAAGACGACAGTAGTGGAGGGACCGTTCGCATGACACAACTCCATGAGTGCAACGTCGAGAGTCACCAGCAGTCTTCTCTCCATGATCATCAATTGACGGAGATATCTTCGGACTCCCAGGACCCTGAATTGTGTGAGATAGGTAGTGCTGGCCTAGCAAAACAACTGAGGATCGCATGTCCGACGCAGATATACTAGTATTGCCACGCAGGTGAGCGCTCAGGATGGCCATGACGACCGACGAGGGGGATGTGCGGCCCGTGCTGCTGGTTTGCAAGCGCCTGTCAGCCACGGCACGCCTGTGGCGTGAGAAAGTCTCACCGCGATAATTCGAGCTTCGTCCCCTTGGTCAGTGCGTCTCCTTTGCTCGGCTCGTCCTTATAGTATCCCGCTGGACGCCAGAATCGCCGACTCTCACCCAAGGTCTCCTTCATCGGCTGTACCAGACTGCTAGAACAGCTGGATCGCACAGTGTCCTAATGGCATCCGAGAATTGGAATCCCAATCCACTGCTGATGAACCTGGATTTTGAGGAGTTCCTGAAAACTGTGTCGTATAGAGTGAAACAAGAGTTGGCCCCTATGAGGTGGGCGTTATCAAATTTTCATCAGTTGGTCTCACTCTGACTCGTCTTGCTCCAGTGCACAGACGGTGAGCGATGCTGACCACTTTTCTGCTTTAAGCTAACCGCGATCCAAGGCATTACGAACAGAGAAATCATTCCGGAGCCTTATAGCTCTTCTTCGACAAGTTCAGAACTCGTTTCGTCCCGCGGTTCACCTGCCTCCTGAGATCTTAGGAGAGATATTCCAATATGCCTGCTCGTGGTGCTTCAGATATCATCTCGCTCAGCGTTGGACAGGTCTCAAGGAAATACTGCAATCTCTACGCAAAGTGTTGCACGTATGCCATCATTGGCGAATGGTTGCTCATGGTGTGCCTGCCCTCTGGAATTGTTTGGACAATTCTTATTCACCGGTTGATCACATCTTCCTCGAACGCAGTCACGCCGGTGACCTTGCTGTCAGAATCGGAATTAGCTATGAGGACGGAGACTTTGAGCATTTTTTGCAGTCTCATTCCTTACGCTTGCGCGAGTTGCGCATGTGTATCTATCTTGAGAAGCCTTCTCCTAACTTCTACATCAACTTACACGGCTTCGTCGGTTGGACCTGAGTACCCGTTTCACCAGATCAACACCTTCTTTTGCGACTATGTTATTCGCTGCGTGTTCATCGTCCTTGGAGCAAATGCGACTTGAAGGAGGCCTCGATGGGATCCCACATTACCGTTTCGACAACCTGTCATATTTACAACTCTTCAATGTCCGGGCATATGTAACAGAGTTCCTTGAACTACTGTCCAATTGTCCAAACCTGACCGATTTGCAGTTGTTCCATCCCAAAATATGTGAAGGCGGTGCAAATGACGATTACATCTTTTCGTTGCCCAATCTGCGCAGGTTACGCATCGAAATCCATCCGTCGGTTCTTGCTGCCTCCTTAATCTCAAAAATCCCCCTCAGCACCAGTGTAGCGACACAGATTTATGCCATCATGGATGATGTGCCGCAGGAATTCTTGGAAGCAATTTCCCAACTTCCGATCATGCAGGCAACAGCCACAGTGGCGATCAGTTCGAAAGTCATCATCGCAGTCACTGATGTCTCCGGTATTCGTGGCCCCTGTAGCCTCATGCAGGCGCTACCTATGCAGCAGATCCGCGAGCTATGGGTATATGGGCCAGAGAATCACTCACGCGTCGATCATTGCCCTACATTACTTCCATTTCTGGTGAAACTAGAAGTTCTGGTCCTCTGTGACACTCTTCAACTGGATCAAGTATTGGATGCCCTGGCACCTCCCGGCAACATCAAAAGCCGTCCTGTTTGCCCCAAATTGCACACTGTCCGCATCATCATGACGAAGAACCCATGGACCGCCCCTTCAGTCTTCCAGCGTGTGGCAGAACGCCAGCCGCAATTGCAATTGTCGCGATTTTCATGTCATTGGATACCAACATACTCCGATTTTTTCCGTACCTCGTATGAATCTGAATATGGCCATCTTTTCCCGACGACAGAGCTCGACGTGAAGCTGTTGGATCACGACGGTCTCGCTCGTATGAAAGTACCCGATGCCTGTTTAGCTGATGAAGACAATAATTGGCCCTCCATGTTGAGAGGTCCAACGCACACCCTACTATGAAGTCGATCAACGCCACTTAGCATGGTATCGTGGAAGCTCTTAATATGATCAGCCATGAAGTGCTGAAATCCCTCCTCTTTTTCCCAGGAATGGCAGCTGGACCATGCGGATGCTGCGACCCTACCTCAGTGTTCACCGTCATTCTAGTGCTCCTCGTCCTCGGTCCAACCAGATAGCAGCTCTTTCTGCATACTGCGTTCTCAGACATTCTCACCTGTTAAACACTGTACCAGAATCTGAACTGATGCTGTGGGAATCCCAAATCGCGATGCTTGGAATCAGCATACTACCACGACGGGCCCATTGATTACGTGGTTATAGGCTCCGGCCCGCAAATAAATGAAGGGTGAACGAACGGTCCGTCTTGATTAATTGGAGATGCAACTAATTGCTTTCATGCGCTGGTCGAGACATGTGCATTGGATGAGGGCCGCTGACTTGCAGCGGAAACGGCGGCGATCCCTTGCTGCAGTTGAATTAAGGTGACGTCAAGCCTATATGGCTTCTTTCGTCCGAGCTTTGCTACTGTTATACTTGACGTTTGTGGCCTAATGAAAGGCTGTGGTGTCACAATGGGGATGCTGTCTGTTGAATTACAGGCATACCCGCCTGCCTCCAAATTCAGCACAGACCAAATCCTGGACCTGTCTGGTGCAGTGGTAAAGTGATAATTGTGCCAGACAGGTATGCAATGTCGTATCGTCGATACTGGCACTAGCGGCACTGCTCGGCTAGCCACCTGGCACCTCTAGGGCGTCCCCTCTTTAGCCGCATTTTTATGTGGGGCGAGAAGTACACTGATTAAGGCCCCTTTCTCGTGCACTTTCTCTCACATTTCGAATGTACGCGTGAGCGTGAAATGGAAATGCGCTTCGGAGAGAAACCGCAAAGCAGTCGCTCATCTCTACCTTTATCTATCTCTCCCGGCGGCTGGAGCGACTGAAACTGGTGGATGACGTCGACACGCGGGCTCCATCTCCGGCGAGCACCTCTTCACTTTGACAGCTCGTTTTGTCCAGATAAGGCAATATTTACCTATATATATATGCAGCCAAGATCTGCAGGAAACTTGCGCGCGCCCGAGGGGGGAGGGGATCAGCGGTTTCTTCTGTACGTTTTCTGCCACGCTCCGTTATCCACTCATCTTGATTTGCACCGCGAGAGGCAGGATCGCGCCTTGTCCTTGACGCGCATAGAACTCGTTATGCACTCCCATGGCTCTTACACGGGCATTTGATACGCTCCCTGCAGGAACGTATGAAGATGATTCACTATGAGCAGCAGGTTATCAATGCGTTACAACGGTTACCATGCCCTTGGTATAGTAAGTACTGGCTTGAGGGCCGCTGACTTAGTTCGTCTTTACCACACACCGTGAAACAATTTGTCTCGAAGTCGATCAAGACGAGAAAGAACAACTAAAAGCGGTTAGAGCCCAGCAGCACTATCCGTTCCGACATTCGCTGAGCCCGAGCTTGAACGAGTTTTACCGGGAGATCGGCACATTTCGGAGAGGCTTTAAAGTTACTTATTCGGAGGCAGCAGAGCAAAGCACGAGAGCACGAGAGGACAACCGATTGACGTCATCAGATGTATCTAGCCTGACTCCGGGTGTGCATCGCGGTAACAGATCATGTTTGTCTCGTCTAGATAGACTTACTCCTTAATTGAAGAGAGGGACTCTGGTCAGGGAGAAGTTAGTGTTCTCGTCATGGTTCGCGTGCTGCACAGCACGACCTGTCAGTCAGTTACCTGCCAAATACCACATACCATTCGAACGAAATTCGATAAGACGAGCTTGCATCTTGCCGAATTGACGCGACAAGGAGAGTCGACGACTTACATCAATGCAGTCGATCGGGCGATCATGTATTCATGCGTCATGGTGCACCGATATCGATCCGAGCAATATTCACGCTCATCGTATGTGTCATAGCAGCGGCTGTCGTATCCCGGAATCCTGGGTCAGCTAATTCACTTTATCGATAGTAGGTCATATTTCAATTATAGTAGAGACGGACAGTCCCATTGCAACGAGATAAGCCGGCCAGCAGATGACGTTGAACACAGGACAGCGTAAGGGTCCCCAACGTGCTCAGCCCAAAGCCAACCCACCATCCTCTGGAATCGCTACCAGTGCGAGTCAGACCTGCGTCTCCACCGACACCGCAAGAGACTCTCCGCAGGACGAGCAGGCGGCGCAGGACCGTCCCAATGCGAGGCACGCGGCGACGGACGCTGACACCGACCCGCTCTACGCACCGCGCGCTATTATCCCTACCACCCAGACAACCCGGCTCCGGGTAGGTCACGTCTTGAGCGCCTCCTCACGGTCAAGCACGGACTGCTCGAGCTTGATGAGGATCGTCGTGCGCCCGGGGTACTGCTCCGTCGGCGTGTTATGCGCGGTGACGCGTGCTGGCTGCGAACAGGGCGTTGCGACGACGATTATGCGAGATGCGATTGTGATGCGAGAAGGAACAAGGAATTGGCGCAGGCCAGACGGTGTTGTTGGTGTGTGCGGGGTCCAGCCAGCGCGGCAGCCATTCAAGCGTAATTCCGATTCCGGGCGCGCGTTCACGAGATAAGATCGAGAAAGAACACGCAGTCAGTTTCATGCAAGGGTCCAGAATGGTTATTGGAAGAGACGCACGAAGCCCAGGCCGTCGAGGACGGCCTCGACGACGCCGGCGGTGAAGGAGGAGCAGCTGAGCTGGCTCATGTCGCGTGGGACGGAGATGTTGCGGGTGATGGGTGGGTCGTTGTCGATGATCATGTCTGCGTGCAAGTGAGTACATAAAAAAAAGAAGAGGGAGGGGGGAGGGACGGACACTCGTCGGCGTTCTCGACGCTCTTTTCGATGGCGTCGGCGGGCTTGCCAAAGACGGCGCGCCAGAGCTGGGTGTGGATGGACATGAGGGCGGGGAGGAAGCGGATCTCGCGCTTGGGAGCTTTGGAGCTGGACTCGTTGCGCCAGGACATGAGCTCGAGGACGCGCACGCCAACGCGGTAGCCGAGCGTGTTCAGTCTGCGCAATCAGCATCAGTGCAACGCAGACAGAGCTCGCAACTCACCGCCGCTCGAGATCATTGATGCCGCTGACGCGCTTCTG